AGAGGCAAGGGAAAAGGAAAGGTAAAAGAGAGAGAAAGTGAAAGAGGAAGAAGAGATGACGTGGATGAAAAAAAGGATATTAAAATTTTTAAATTAAATAAAAATGCCACCTCATAAAAAAAAGATGGCCAACTGTGTTTTTTTTTTTCATGTCATTAGTCAAGCAAAAAAAGAATTGATTTTGTGGCATTTTAACGTGCCACCTGTCATTTAACTGACGGAAGGATCATTTTGGTACCAAAAATGAAAGTTTAAGGATAATTTTGGTACTTTTTAAAGGTGAGGGATAATTTTGGTACCAAAGTGAAAAGTTGAGGGACTAAAATGGTACTTAAACCTAAAAAGATTGTATCTGTAGTATCACCCTAAACAAAAATCAGATTAACAAGAAAAGAATAAATTCACATGCCCCTTTGGTTTGGGGAAGGAATACTTTTAACTCCCCAAATTATGAAACGGAAGTGCAAATTTACCCATGTAGTTTTCATCCATTGGTTAGAGGCTATCTTTGTTAAGTTATTAACAATACTAATTGAAACGTCTTGAATGTACCTTTTAAGCTACTAAAGCTTTTTATAATTTGAGAGTTCATTATACATGTATCAAATTAAGACACTACAATTGATAGTTACTTAAGGAAACTCCACTAATTATTGAGTATAGATAACTTTTAAGGCACTGTGAATAGGCTAAGCAGCTTGAGCTAAATACCTTTAGGTTCAAGTTAGGCTCGTCTAAAAATTGTCAAGCTCAGTCTTAACTGTGAGTAACTTACTTAATTTAATGAGCTCAGTAGCTCAAGTTTCTTTATTGAGTATGATCTAGGTTTGTTTACGACTTCATTAGCTCAAGTTTTCATTTTTTAATAAAGACTAAAATTAACTATAAACTATTCATTCAGTAAAAAATTAACCTAACAAAATTTGTTTGAGTAAAAAATTTAGTAGATACTTTAAGAGAATATTAAAACAACTTTTTTATTGAGTTTTTTTAAAAATAAACTTTAATCTAAACTTGTTCACAACATTAAAAAAAAAAAATTCAGCCTTAAATTCAAGCTCGACTCATTACAAAAACTAGTTCAAAATTTAACTCGAGCTCATTTATTAAGCTTAAAAATAAAATGCAAGGAGGTTTTTTTTTTTTTTTTCTTAATCAAGTCAAATGGTGGAAAGAACCTTTTGATATCAAACTGGGTGAGGGGGATTATAATTTTCAACTCTCAAGTGACAGTTGATGAAGCCTTACATCAAAGTTGAGCCACTTAAACTACATGGGTCTCCCACAGTCAAAACCCAGAGAGAGTTGGATGTCCATTTTTCGTAATTTGGGATTTATGTGATCTACTCGCCCAGAGCACAGGAGAGTATATTCAATTTTTGTAAAAAAATTTATTAGGGTATTGGCCAAGTTTAAAAAAGATGCATAGATTTTTTTTTCTATAGAATTAAATTGACTCAAGTAGTTTTAAGTAAGTTTTTTTATTAATCTCCCATTGTTCAAAAATTATATTAGGTTAAAAAACCTCTCTTAACACTATTTCTCAATTTATAAAATTTAATTTTAAAAGAAAATTAAAATTTTTTCACTAAAATTAATAAATTTTTAATAATTTAAAGTAAATTTTGGGGGTACAATTTTAAGTAAGTTAAAAAGATTAAATGCGTAAATTTTTAAAAGAAAATGCTGTTTACTGTTAATTTTATAAAATTATTTAAATGTCATTCAAAAAATAATATAAAATAAAATTTAAAAATATTTAAATAATTTTACATATAATCCATCTTCTAAAATAATTTTTTTTATAAAAAGTTAATTTTAAAAGTTAATTTTAAAAACTTTTTATAACATTTTAAATTTATGGTAATAGAATTTATTTATTTTATTTTATTTTAAAACAAGAGCTTTTTCAGACACCACCTATATTAGAGGAAGAGAGAAAAAAGAAAAGAAAGGAAAAGAAATGGTAAGAAGAGAAAACCTTCCATGCATTTATACAGATTTTAATGGCTATTTGATTACCCTACGCATAGAAACCACACTGCCTCTCCTCTGCAATCACTGACTACTGCCTTTAATGGATCTCTGTGCCCACTAACTACCCCTTCCTCCTTCCCTATGTCATTGCCGCTTCCGATTACCCCGTCCAACTCCGATCGCGCACCGCACCACCTCCGATCCGACCGGATACCTCTCCAATCGGACCACCTGCTCTACTGGCTTCACGCATTTTGGTGAATGTAGTTGATTCTGTTTCGTCCGTTCGTTGCTTGAGAGATGAATCCTCTGTGCTGCATTGCTCCGGTGTCGATCGATCGTGACCGAGTCGGGGAACGGGCGAATCCGGTGGTGGCGAAATCAGGTGCGCAGTGTCAGCTGGAGAGTTCCATTAGGACCGTGAACTACGCCTCCAAACCGAGCTTCTCGTCTCAGGTCTCGTCCGCGAACGCCGATGCTGACAGATCCTCGCCGTCGGTTGTGAATCATGGCGCATTCGACGAGGCAATCGGCGAGCCGAGAGACTCGAAGGCGTGCTGCGTGGCTGGGATTCTTTATAAGTGGGTGAATTACGGGAAAGGATGGAGGGCGAGGTGGTTTGTGCTGGAAGACGGTGTTCTTTCGTATTATAAGATTCACGGACCTGACAAGATTTTAACGAGTCCGGCGAGAGACAAGAGTGTTAGAGTGATCGGCGAGGAGTCTCTCCGGTTTATGAGGAAGGCCAACTGGAGTAGTCATCGCCTCGGCCTGGCTAACCGGCGGTGCAAGCCATTCGGTGAAATCCATTTGAAGGTACGGAAATTTTCATTTCACTCCATTGTCCAATGTATTTCTGTACGTATAGATGTACGTTTTCGTGTGTGCTAAGTTCCGGTTTTCCTGTTGTTGCGTTACGGCAAGAACTTCCGATTCTTTTGACTATCTATCTTATTATAGCAGCGAGAAATGATTGGAACTGACGCCATTTTAAGTAAAGGAATGACACATGGGAG